CCCACAACGTCAAGGCACCGGCTACTATGTTGGAACGATTGCCGTGATTATCCGTACTTGCCAAAGGAGCATTCAGAGTATCTTACCTTATATGGAATTGCCTAAGAAATCGATCAGGGTAATGCATTTCGGCCATATTGCAAAATATGAGCATGACCCTAGGCTCCCTAGCGGACCAAAGCGGATTGTCATTAAGGATAATACGTGGGAGTGTCTCGGACGCGTAGGGAGTGAAATCAAACTATAAAAAGTTTGATTTGCAATTTAAGAACTATAAAACAATGTGTATTGAAAATTGAATAGTACGGTTGAAGTAAAAATTTCAAGTACTACCTCACTCTTGCCACCGTTTCTTTCAGTACATCATTAGAAGAGTAAACTGCGCTGACTTTGATCCTGTCTGAATCTACCGGTTCAACATATGATTCTTGTAGCTCCACATTGGCCCAGGTGGTGTCTACTTCCTCGTCACCATCATCGCTCGTGGATGCATATGCATCACTACTAAATCCTTGTTCATAGTCATGGTCATCCGACTCTTCACCCGAATTTATGACTATACAAAGTTGATACATTTATAAATTTCAATATTATTATCTACTACAAAAAATAAATAACATTTTATTTGAATGTTATAAAATGTACTTTGAATATGTTATAACTTAATTTATTTTTGAATTCATATATGACTTAATGGGTCAAATTTTGTTTAAACGTGTTATATTATAAAATGCGAGTTTATCTAATTGAATGAGTTAAAAATTACTAAAATAAATACTTCTAAAGTTATGGGTTAAACAAAATAAAATAACAATGTAATTTATAAATGTTAATTTATAGAATTTCTTAAAATAAAACAAAATATTTCTAAAAACACCCCATAGTCGGAATTGGGCTTTCCGACGGCACTAAAAATAGCCATATAAAATTTTCTATAAAAAATAGCCATACGGTTTAAACAAAATAAAATAACAATGTAATTTATAAATGTTGATTTATATAATTTCTTAAAATAAAACAAAATATTTCTAAAAAAACACCCCCTAGTCGGAATTGGGCTTTCCGACAGGAAGTTTTTTTTTTACATTTTAATTCGACAGCACTAAAAATAGCCATATAAAATTTTCTATAAAATTCATACATGACTTAATGGGTCAAATTTTGTTTAAACGCGTTATATTATAAAATGCGAGTTTATCTAATTGAATGAGTTAAAAATTACTAAAATAAATACTTCTAAAGTTATGGTTTAAACAAAATAAAATAACAATGTAATTTATAAATGTTAATTTATATAATTTCTTAAAATAAAACAAAATATTTCTAAAAAACACCCCCTAGTCGGAATTGGGCTTTCCGACAGGAAGTTTTTTTTTACATTTTAATTCGACAGCACTAAAAATAGCCATATAAAATTTTCAAACCCTTGTCGGATTTGAGAATTCCGACAACATTAAAATTCATTTTTTATTTACATTTAAAATCTAAATATGTTTTCGTTTCAATGCAGTGTGACTCAATGCAGTTGGACTGCGACAGATACCAAAGACCCAGATAAAGATAAAGGACATTAATGAATTTGTACCGATATGACTGGACAGAATACTTTATAGCCAAATTTAAGTCTAAAATTTCAATTTAACAATCTAAATTAAAAAAATTACAAATTACTAAATTAACTACTTCTACACTCCTAAAACCGAAATTTAAGGCAAATTCTAAATTTAACACTCTTTCTAACTTTCAAGTATTTTATAGCTAAATTTAACTCTAAAATTCAATTTTAACAATCTAAACTAAAAAAATTACAAATTATTAAATCTACTACTTCTACACTCCTAAAAAAATTAATTAAAGCAACTTATAAGTTAGAGATCTATATATAGCTTTTTTAACGATGTGATACTATCTCCGTCTAAATCAATATCGTAAATATATAATTAATATAAGTAATATATAAATCACATATAATTAATTAGATACGCGTAATATTATTATAAAGATATTAAATTATAGAGTAATTAATTAGCCTAATTATGCATGATATTAGTATTATTTAATATATCACAACGATTTGGTAATTACAATGCCTTTACAAATATTTTTTAGATTACACCACGTTGATTATGGTTCTATTATTTTCAAATTAGCCGCAATATATTATAGTAGAGATAATATATACTTTTATTATAGCCTAAGTATATACTCCCCCTGTCCCAAAAAGGTTGGCCAAATTTCCTTTTTTGGATGTCCCAAAAAGATTTGTCATTCCCATTTAAAGTAAGAAATATGTGGCTAAAACTAATTCTCTCTCCTCTGCACAAATTTCAACCACACAGTTTTTACTTTATTAATTCACGTGAAAGTCAACTTTGGCCAACCTTTTCAGGACGGAGCGAGTAATACACTAAGTAATACATATATTACTAATATCAGTGATATATACTAATTATGTTATAATATTTAAGATAAGCCTATGATATCTAATTATTGATTATACAACGATCAATTATAACCAAATTTAACTCTAAAATTCCAATTTAACAATCTAAATTAAAAAATTTATAAATTACTAAATTAACTTGAACAATACATAACGGGAGATTCGTAGTTCTGAAATGTTTGACGGTTGTTCCTCTGACCATATACTGATGATGAGCCTTCCTCTCTGGGAGTTCCGTGGAACGTCAAATTTTGTGACGAGGTCGCTGAAGCTTCCACGTAAATGTGCAATTCCTCATACTCATTTTTAGCGATCCGGAAAAAATGACGCCATGTCTGCTCATCTTGAATTAGCCATAATCTAGAAGCAACATATACCCAATTCTTATATTTTTGGCAATTTTCCGTAAATTAATTTAATTTCGGATAATCCGTCGTCTCTAACATGATTTAGAACATTCACTAATATTCTTCATCTCCTTCACTAATAAATAGTACCGCCCTAGGAGGTATGGAGTACTCTATTTCATCATCTTTTTTGAGATGTAGAGTCATTCAAATGAACCATAACAACAGTATTGCCCTCCTAGACATTTTTATATGAGAAGAGAGTGCCTAAACAGAAAATATAATGAATATATTAAGAGAGAGAGATGTGTTTTTGGAGTGTGCTTGAAAATTTTGAGAACAAATCAACGGATTTTATAGGAGTTGGTGTGGTTGGAGTTTGGTAAAAAGCTAGGCCACAAATTAAACACGTAAAATATTTCACAACCATAAAAACCTTGTCGGATTCACCAATTCCGACCATATTGTTGGTAAAATAAACGAACAACAAGCAAACACGTATGCGATTTGAAAAAATAAAAATTTATCACAATTCCCCTAGTCGGATTCCCCAATTCCGACTAGGTGTTTATTTAATTTTTTGCATTCCCCTTGTCGGATTCCCCAATTCCAACAAGGTATTCAGCCCTACTTCGGAGGCCCTCCCCTAGTCGGATTTGACAAATCTGACTCCCGTAATTTTGTAACCTAAAAGGAACTCCAGCATTTTGGCTTGTGAGATGGGAAACCCCCGTATTTTGGTAATTTTCTCGAGTTTACGTCTACCAAACATACACTTAGGATGTTTTTACTTGGATTAAAATTTGTTGGTCTAATTTGGTCTAATCTATGTGTATTTTATAACTATCCAAACCTGGTCGATATTTTGATCTGATCTGAACTGATCTGCGACTAGAAAAAATCCAAATAAAAACATTCTTAATCTTATTTGAGGAATTCACCCAAAAAAATATATCAATGAAAATTTAACATATTATCCTCCATTCTTTAATAGTTGCAACAATTTGACTCTCACGTTTGCCAACACACAACTTTGACTATAATTATATTTAATTACGTATTAGTAAAAATTATAAAAATGTAATATTTAGAAAATTAATATGAATAGAATATTAATAAGATTTTATACATAATTGTTTGATTATAAATTTTAGTAGAACAACGTGGTTAAAGTAAGATGTGTGAATAGTGAAAAAATTCTAATGTTGCAACTTTTTAAAAAAGATAAGAATGACACAAGGGTTAGCTACCAGTGGACGTAGTTCAACTGATAGCAAGAGAGTGCCACAAAGGTTAAGACCCGGATTCGAATCCCGCCAATTTCGATGAGGGGTTACTATGCAAAAAATGCATAGGGCCTCTACAAGTAACGAGGACAGAACCTCATTCTCTATCTGTCAGATTAGGATTATATTCCAATTTACATCCTCCCAATGTATCGTCCGATCGGGGTTGAAGAGCCCTCAGGGATGGGGTGTCATGCTTTTTCAAGGGTTAGATAAGAATGACTAACCAAGAGGGAATGAACCACGGAGGTAGGGGTGGACTCGGGTCGGGCCAACTGGCCCAGAACCGGACAGGCCCGCTATTGTGCGGGCCCAGCCCGGCCCGGTAAACCGGTTGGTTGGCCGGTTCGGGCCACCTGGCCCGATGGGATCTCGGTTCAGGCTCGGGCCCTTCAAAAGGTGAACCGGCCTGGCCGGTTCAAGCCCGGGCCGGGCCAATTTTTTTTTAAGTTTTTGGGTTGGGCTGAGTATTTTGGGCCATTTGAGGTGGTTAGGGTTGGTTTGGGGGTGAGGGGGGGTTGGGGGTTAACTAGGAAAAGCCCAAAAAAAAAATATAACCGAGGCTCGGCCCAGCTCAACCCAGACCCGAGGGTTACCCGAGCCGGTTCCGGGCCTCCCATACCTTGAACCGAGGCCCGGCCGGTTCAAGGCCCGAATCGGGCCCTACCCGAACCGAGTCCATCCCTACACGGAGGGAATAATATTGAAGTACTTCTACTACCATTGACTTTTTTAGATGAAACCATTGACCAATTATAAAGATAAGTCAACATTAAACATTTGACTTCTTCCCTACTAACGACTTTTTATTACAAAAGTAACAAAACCATGCACGTGCTTTAAATCTTAATCAATTTTGCAATTTCTCCAAAAAAAAAGTGTACACATTTTTTGTACAACATTTAAAATGGCATGTACAAAAAATGTGCACAAATAGCATTTTCTACCATAATCTTACGATGTGCCCAATTCCTTCAAAGCATAAACGAAAGAAAGATTGAAAGCATATGTTGAGCATAAAAAAAGGTTTGGAGTAGAAAAAACGCCAGCATTATTAAATGAAGGAAAAAGTCTCCAACTAAGATGGGTTGATGGGGTGGGGGCATTGTGAAATGAAGCATTACAAAAGTGCAGGCGATCTTCAGACATAAATATTGAATAATACAATAATACACACTCAAGGCCGTTCATTAGAAAAGTACACCATCACTAGCTGAATCTTTTTTTATCTTTAAGATTCTGATCCCTACAAGAAGCAAAAACACAAACAACAAATATGAGTGAAGTTTTTATATGAAATGTCAAACAAAAACAAAGCATTATAGAACAACCTCTGTATTTGGTCGAGAATAAGAAGCCTTGGTCCAGGAGGAATGTTCACATCACGAAGCGCACTGAAACAATCACACAAAAGGATCCTCGTGAGCATATATACCTTAAACTTCTTACTAGATACAAGGATTACAAGCATGTTAAATAACCAATGCAAGGCATTCAACGTATTGCCCTTGGACTGAGTTGGACTACACAACTCAAGGAGTGCACAAATGGGCCAAATAAGCCAACAACCATCAGACTAGACTCTAATACAGTGTCAAATTGGGTCTAACACGTCCAAAAGGATCCCTTAGAGATGATTTTTACCTCATACTTGTGTACCAGATTCCAACAAGTCTATCATTTGCAATGGAGCCAAAGACTCATTATTTTTTGACTTGGAAATATGATGGAATAAAGCAAAACGGCTCACTAAACTGTCTGCGCTTCTTTGTTATGAAAGAGCAGTCAGTCCATTCAATTTTCGGCATAATTTTCTCTATGAGTCATCCGGAAACAGTCCCTATGTGCTTTAGTACAGAGGTAAGATTGTGTACATTCAATCCCCTTACCCCACCGAAGGTTCGAGTCTTTGCGGCACTGGGGTAATGATGATGATAACTTGTATACCAGATTCCAATTGAGGAGATGAACCAATGTGAGAGACTCTACATAATTAAAGTATGAAAGTTAACACTAACCTTTCGTTGAGTAAAGGTAGAGTGACGTCCGTCAGCAAACCCTTCTTGAAGTTTTTCTCGTATTTCTCAAGTCCAATGCTAGACAACAGTGATCTAGTCTTGGTATAGTAAATATCTTCTACAGGTGGCTTTGAAAAGTTTTGTCCTACCTGCATCAGTCAAATGAATTTTAACAACCAAAATCTTGTAAATCAACGGTGATTTCATATTGTCACATGAAGTGTTGTACACTTATATGCAGAAATAACTACAATCCACCTCCAAACAAACACAAGAAACATTTGGATTACTCACTCTGTCCCAAATAAAAGGCTTGTTTCTAACTTTTTCCCAACAAAGGATCCAGTTTTATTTAACTGTGCTAATTTTTTTTATGCAATTTGATTAAAAAGAAAATATATGTATGCTACATGATCTAGAAAAGTGGCACCTTACTAAAAGTAAAACATTGTACATTGGTCAAATAGGACTCATTTTTTAAACAGAGGTCTTAAGTTTTAGTTTGCGAATTTGAAAAGTATCACATTCCCATGGAAGCTTTAGTCAATAAAATAACTTGAAGCGTGATAAAAATCCATTTTGCTTATACTAAAATGCGTGAATATGTAAATGTTCCTATAAATATGATTTTCACCTGTTATTAACATAGTAAATGTCCCTACATGGTAACTTTTCCACCTACATAGATGACTTATTACTTGATTATTGAAGCCATTGATTTCTTGAACCTGAGAAATCATTCAAGGATTCTTTCCACTGCACAGCGATGTCTAAAAAGAGTCACATCACTCCCCTCCACTAAAAATACCATACTTGCAGGATAGTGCGGTCTTTTTCAACCGCAAGCAATGCAATGGATAGTCCACAAGAGTGGAAAGAATCATTTACAAAAAAGTCATTTACCTTGAAAAGTGCACCTTGGACAACTGCAAAGAACAAGCCATTTTGTACAGCACCAACTAGGGGATTCTGGCCACCACTCACACCACTTACTAAAGAAAACATCACTCCAGAACCAAATGCAGCCACCACACTGTAATTATGAGATATAATGCTTGTCAGATGTACATTTTGTGACAAAAGAAAGCAAAAAGGGGAGCAGAAAATGAAAGAACGCTGAATAAAACTTGAATAAAAAACAACCAGAATATCCAGTGGAACTGTGGAAGAGAAAAGAAATAGATAGAACCCAATGCTTATCAACTCCAAACAACACATTCCAAGTTTCACTAAATAAGCAAGAAGTGCAAAAACCACTGTGACTGTAGACACTGCCATAAAAATCAGTGCAGGATGTTAAATCAGCCTAATTTGGATACATTATAACCAATTTTTGAGATATTTTTCTACGGTTGATTAACGAGTGTGGTTTTACTAAATAAAAGTAATGTATGAGTATATATTTTTGTTTAAAATTTAGTGCTGTGATGTGTGCTTAGAGGGTACGAAATTAGCTGTTTGGAATTTAGTATTACCAGAAACATATCTTCATTTTAGAAAACACTAGCAGGGTAGCAGGTACAAGTATGCAAGAATTCCTTAGTTTCTGTAATTGTGATTGCTTCACTATTGCTTCCATGGTGGGCTCATCAGGTGACACGTAAAGAAAATAGAAACATATGTAAAATCACCTTGTCTCAATATCTTCTTTGCCTCTCAATCGTTTCATGACGCAAGAAATTCCTGCATTTACCCCAGTCATAACTGCAAAGTTTCGGGCTTGGATCAAGGGGCCACCTGACAGCGCCTGAAAAAGGACTTTCACATTATACTCATTTGAAAACAAAATCAACTACTCCCTAGTCCCTACATAACATTAACTGAATGGATCTTTGAGGTTCCAAGTTAACTGCTAAAACTTGACTAAAAGGAAACTAAGAACAAAATCGCCCACCCATTGTTCCACACAAAACACATAAACTAAGAAAAGATGTACTCCGTATATGACAAAGAACACATATGCCCACAACTTTATTCAGTACAAAGATATATTGTACTCCCTCCTTTTCCAAAAGAAAGTAACTGTTTGACTTCACGATTATTAAGGAAATAAATTGACTTTACTGTAGAAAACACTGTTTATACCCTGTTTGGCACTTTTTGGCCACTGTTTCGCATTAGATTTCTTTAACAAATAAGGAAATAAGGGAAGTGTGGCCTTTGTTTTTGAAACATCTAAAAAAGAAGGAAAGTGTGAGTCTCTTAGAATAGAAAAGGAGGGAGTATGTTTTCTAATTTACGGCTCAAAGATATACTTTTTTCAAAATTTACATTTTGTGAAAGTGATACTGGTATATTTGTTTTCAAAGGCAGCGGAATAATGAAAAATAATTAGACCTGAGCTTGTTTAAGTGCGTTTGTGGCTTTAGGATCCATGCTGAGCCCGGGAGGAGGGGTGGGCATGGAGCTAGAGAGGTCCGCCGAGAAAGTGCCGAGAAGAGAGCCGAGAAAAGCACCTTGCACGGCGCTGGTGGCGGTGACCACTGCGGCTTCAACCGGTAAGGATTGCTTGGCTAGCCAACACTTACATTTGTCCTGGATTTCCTTGAACTTAGCCTGGAACTGCTCAATAGGGTTCTGGGTAGGAAATTGAACGGCCATGATTTGCTGCTTTCCTTCCCCCATCTCCAATTCACTGGTAAACCACTGCTCTTTGTTTCTCTGTTAACCTCGTCCGATTTCGGCCTTAAACCCTTATTAGTGTGGTATGAATCTACAATTGAAGGAAGGCCTTCAAAATAACGACTCTCAAGTCTTAACCTATACCGACTGTTCAACTCTCCGTAGGATGCCACTGGGCCGTTCGGGTTGGAACCCAGAGTGCGTTTTGCCCGTTTGGTAAATGGCTAGTTTTTTTCTTTTGTTTTTTTTATATTGTCAATAGTAGGGATGGATTCGGTTCGGGCCACCCGGCCCGTGACCCGGTCCGGCCCGCTACTGTACGGGCCCGGGACCGGCCCGGTCTGGCGGTCCGGGACCGGGTGTGGACCCGAACCGGTGGGGAAGCGGGGGCGGGCTCAGTTCATGGAAAATGTGACCCGGCCCGGCCGGGTCGGGCCCGGGTCCGGGTCACAACGGCTACATTTTAAAAAAAAAATCTTTTGGGCCAAAGATGACCGTTGGGTGGGCTGCAGGGGGGTCCGGGGGATTCGGGGGGTGGGGGTGGGGGTGGGGTAAAAAAAACATATAAATACTCCTAGTCTTAAACATTTTTTCATATCTCTTCTCCAATCCTTCCTAAATCCTACTCTTAACTCTCTAGTCTATAATTCTCTTATTCTCGAATATATTATATTTATATATCTACTTTATATTAATTATCTACTTTATAATTTATAAATACATACATTATATTACTTATATTTCTTATCTAATTATATATTACTTATACATTTATTATATCTATTAATATAGTTGGAATTATATCTAATTAACTTGAAGTCATTCTATTACTCTCATCTGAAAGATCGAAAGTCTGAAAGAGGTACGAAATCATTCTATTATTTACACTTGTTTAATTTTGTATTAACATTACTTGAAAAAAAAACTAGTTAATTCTCATTATAGTTAAAGTTAAACTATAATAATTTGACTGTTAGTAAAAAAATAGGTAGTACAAAAAACTAGTTGATTAGTTAATTAGTTTTCACACGAATTGTTTAATTTTTCATTAAAGTAGTTAATTACTTTATTACATTTTTTTATTAATTGCTACCTTTGACTCTAGTTTAAAAAACTAGTTAATTCTCATTATAGTTAAAATTAAAGTATATTAATTTGAATGTTAGTAAAAAAAATAGGCTGTACACAAAATTAGTTAATTCACTAGTTAATTTGACTATTTATTAAACAATAGTATTGCTATAAATTTTGGTTCAATTCACATTTTTTACATCACATTTCACTCGAATTAAAGTATTATTTAATTACTAGTAATTTGATTAAAGTAAACTTTAAAATAGTAATTTATAAAAACTCGAATTAATGGTTAGATTGAAGTATCATTTAAAATAGTTTTAATTACTCTTATTAATATATTTGTTGCAATTTAATATTTGTTACATTTTTTAGATGGATCGTCCTAGATATTCGGTTGATATGGGTAACCTCGAGCGCAACCGAACGAAAGAGCTTGCGAGGAAGAGATCCCGCAGAGGTAAATCACATATATGTGTAAATGGGAAGTGATTACTATCTCTGTCTTATTGGATTTACCAACTTTCCTTTTTTGTTGTCCCAAAAAATTTTGACACTTTCTCATTAAAGTAACTAATTTGTGGTTCTGAACATTTCTCTCTCTTCTACACAAATCTAACTCACACAGTTTTTACTATTCTTATTTCTGACTTACTTTGCACTTGGCAAAGTTCACTGAGACGAGGGTAGTATTATTTAATTAAATAATAATGCATGACTAAAATAAATGTTGTTTATAAAAATGTGACTTTAATTGCAGTTACTATAGTAATAGCTTATTCAAAGTAACTTATATTCAATTTTTACACTTAAATAACTACGAAATCTATGAAATGTTAACTATAAGTCATATTCTTGTATATAAGTTTCATTTCATCAATATATTTGAAAAAACTTCTTATTGTTTTTTTTTTTGAAAGGAAAAAACTTCTTATTGTTTGTTCACTTTAAGTCATGTACTTACATTTATTTGCAGTCATATCATATACAGAGTAATTAATAAGATTAACATTCCAAAGAGAATGAACACTCACATCGGATCCAAGGCTGCATATGCTCTACACTAATTTGTTGGGTTCCTTAGCGTGACATCTTTGATTTTTTGCTCCTTTTCTTTTCACATATTGTCCCTTTTCCTTCTCTTTTCCCATTTTGTCTTTTCCTTACATTGTACTCCCTCCGTTCTCTAATAGATGAGAGTATAGCCTTTGGCACAAGATTTAAGAAAGAATTAATAGGGGTAGGATAAAAGGTGTAGTGGGTTGTGTGTAAAGGTAAAAGTATGAAAGAGAATGAAAAAGTAGGAAACAGAATGAGAGTAAATGAATATATTTATTGAAAAAATTTATCAAAAGTGGAAAGGGAGACAACTAATCAGTTGGTATATTATACATCCGGATGTACGTAGGGCATCGTACATCCGGCCCATCAGAAGTACTATAATGGACTGGAGCACTAAAAGACTACAGTAAACGGCCCAAAATTAAAACACGTCCAAAACTAATACAGGTCAAAAAAAATCGGTGGCATTTTTGTAATTTAAGCAAAAAAACACGGCTTCCGCTAAATGAGCAATATTGTACTTTTAATGAGCATCAGACCTATTTTATTGCGTATTTATGAGACTAACAATGAGTATCACGATCCCTGTTTCATATCTTCTAATTCTTTTTTCTTTTTCTTATTTTTTCTTTTATAAAAGCTTATTAAATTATATCTATAATAGACTCCTATTAATTTCAATATGAGAGTCTAATGTAATATGATACTTTTGAAATATGCATTGATATTACGATTCAAGTCTATATCATATAATCTCATCAACACAATACCGGTTTCTTTTACCAATATAGCAATATTAACCCAAAATAAATAAATAAATTATACTACTAGTCATAAATTTAGCATGTTAAATACTACTCGGTACTATTTAACTTTACAATTGTCGTAGACACCAGTTCACTTGCAATCACACAAACCCAATTGTACTTAGTATGTACTATGTACTACGTAGTATATAGGCATTTAGCCATTAAGCAATTTAAATCAAATACCACGTACTAAAAAGTTAAAATCCTTATGACCTTATTTAGACATCCAGATATTTATTACTCCCTCAGTAACATAAAAATGAGTACCAAACCTATAAAAATGAGCATATGCAACTTGTAAAATGAGCATTGATATGAAAATTGTAAGTTTTGTTCGTTGAGCGTCAAGACATTTTCAATGAGCATCAAATCTCCGTTATTAGAATCTGCAATTATGTATCTATCATGATTTGTGGTCCCGTGTCTATAATGAACTCCTATATAAATCTAATGTAACAGAAGACTTTTAAAATATACATTGCTAAAACATTTTAAAAATGAGCATAACAGAAATACTAAATGAACATACATAACTTACAAAATGAGTATCCAAAAATTCAAAAACTCATTTCTGTATGTTCATTTTTTAGGCGTTTTACTCATTTGAGTATAAAATAAAACTCATTTCTAATATGTTCAGTATTAATTAATATATAAAGAAAAGGAAGTAAACAACAAATTAGAAAAGAACTAAAAAACAAATCAGAAAGAAGTAAAGAAAAAGACAAAATAAAAGGAAGTCAAACCAACCAGCTACCAATAAAAAAGTAAAGTCAAAACTAAAAAGTAACAATCAGGAATGACAACGAAAAGAGGAACGAAGAGTATGGCGGCGAAAGAAAAGGAGATGGCGGCTGAAGAGAAAAGAAAAGAAAATGGAACGAAGATCCAACGAGAAAAGGGAAAAGAGGAAGACGGCAGAAGAAGAAAGAAGATGGAATGGAGATCCAGCGAGAAGGAATTGAAGATGAGAGAGCAAAGACTTAAAGTTGCTACCAATTACAAAATAACCGGATGTACACGTACATCCGAATGTAGGATATAATTTACGGACAACTAATAGAGAACATCCTAAAATGGAAAGAGGACCAAGTATTAGAGAACGGAGGGAGTACTTTTATTCTATTATCAATAAAAAAAATTCTTTCCAAAAAAGATTTTTTATCAAAATTAATATACATTCAAGTGGAAAAGTTCTTAGTATTAGTAAATTTATTAGTTACATAATATACAAAATGTAAAGTTACCGGCCAACAATGTGATACAATTAAGGGGCACAAGACTGAAGACTATATATGCAATTCCGTCGTAATAAATGGGTGAGAGTTACATAAGGATTGCTCTATTAAGTGAGGGTTGAAATAGAATTTAAGATATAAATAATACTCCGTGTATATATATATATACACACACTAATGCCCTGTTTGGTAATGGCCGCAATGGCTGAAAAGACTGAAATTCTGAAGTAAAAGTGTTTGGTAAAATATTGGCTGAATTGACTGATTGAATGTGTAATTACTATAAAGGGTATTCTTTTTTTGGTACTACAATACTCCAGATTAGGGATGACAACGGGGCAGATCGGGGACGGTTTTACATATAACCGTAACCGCCTCGTTGTGTAATTTCCCCGCCTCGTAACCGCCCCATTACCCAATGGGTAATTTTTACGCAAATCATAACCACCCCAACGGGTAACGGGTAAACTTTCGGGTAACCACGGGTAACCGCTTTATTAATTGAGTTATTAAATTTTGATATAAAAATAATACGTAGTATTTTAAAAGGCGAAGAATGACATCGCCTAGATGACTCTACACTTCAAATGTCAATTTAAAGATTCGTATATCTACAAGACGAGAAAGGAAGCAACTTAAATTAATTTGAACCTAAAAATATTTGATCTAAAAAATAATTAATCACAAAAAATATAGTAATAACCAAACAAGACTATTAAAATCTATTATGAACTTTCGTTCATACATTATAGTTAGTACATCTATTATCTATATATACACAATGGAAAGAAAAATCTCATCTTTTAATAGTTGTTAGACAAATAATAGATAAAAATATAATAAAAATATAACTACAAATAAACGGGGCGGGTAATGGGGCGGGCATGTATAAAACTGTAACCGCCTCATTAC